AACGATTCTCGATAGATCCGCGTTGCAATTAACGCAAACAGTGTACAGAGAGTATCATTGCACGCACACAAGTCCTCCGAATGTTTCAGACCGGAGACTGAATCGCAATCGAATAACGCAAACATCGGGCAAGAGCAAGCGTTGCTCTCGTGGGCAAGGGCAGCGATAAACCAAACACGAACGAGAAATCACAAGGATCAATCACAATCCTGAGGAATGGGGATCAGACTTATTGCGAGCTCGTTCGCTCGTCGGTCGCAGGTTCGCGCTTATTCGGTATAATTAACAGTAACATCGCACCAATGTTAGAAAATTTCCCGCCCAACGATATAATTGTTACGAACAATATATCGCGCTTATATCGCGTTGAGCGTAAAATTATAACATTGACGTAATGTTACTGTTAGTTTGTGTTCACCGGAGGATTTTCAACAAAAAATCACCCCCGCTTCGTAGGGTCTCATCCATAGGTCGTCGGGAAACGGAGCGGAAAGAACAACGGTACACCGCGTCGAAATCTCCGCGAGACCGATGCGTCGCGATCGAATCGAAGCCCGGAATTCCTCCGGAGCTCTCGAGACTCCGAGAAAAGGGGGGTCTGCGTTTCGCCCTTCGGAATTGCCGGGGCGAGCTGGCCGTCGACGGTTTTTCGCGAGGCACCGAATGCAAGCGCGGTTTCTCGAGAGTGCGGGAGAGCGGTAGTAATAGTAGTTGGTTGGTTGGTGGTAGTAGTAGTAGTAGTAGTAGTAATAATCTGGTAGTACAATGCTAGAGAGTATAGTAGTAGTAGTATTGGTAAATACAAGTGATATACAAGTGATCAGAGTGAAGTGTGGAAGTCGAGATCTCTCTCGTCGGTGGTGGCGGGTCGCACCGAGCTCGACGACGAACAGCAGCGACGAGGACGGAAGTTCGCGAGCTCTCTCTCCTCTTAAAGGGAGGACGAGGAGGAGGAGGACCGATCGACGCTACGTCGTTTACGGGGGTTTCCGGTTCGCGCCGCTCGCTCTCTGTCGTCGATCGACCTCGTCGACGAACGGGGAACCAAGTGCCAAGTTGTCACTCATCGCTTCGCGCACGACGTCTCACGGGGATATCGGTCGCGACCGCGACGGCGAATGCGGGTCAGCGTTATTATTACTTGTCGCGGCCATTCGTTTCTCGACTCGTTACCCCTTGGCTAAACGGAGAATCACGGGACGTCGAAATGACGGGGAAATTATTATAAAAGCTCAAGAGTGAGAACAAAGGAGATAAAGCTCCGTCGATGTGTAATAAACAAAAAAAAGCGACCAGTGATAAAAAGTCTTTTCTTTCTAAGATTTCACTTCTTGATCGCGACTCGATCATTTCCCCGTCACTCTGACGCCATTTCGATGTGATCGTAGTTTTCCGTTCCACCTGGATATCCGCGACGTCGAATCGAATCGTCTTCACTTCGGACCCACGCCGCGAAGAAAACAATTTTGCTGGAACAGCGAACTGTTTCTTACTACAACGTCATCGAAAAGATTTATCCGAATCCAATAAAAAGATTTGTTAAGAGTATTGATTTCTGATTTTAACTAACTATATTTTATTGCTGTCGCGACAACGGCGACATTATTTCTTCCGTATGACGAATCTTCTCGCTGTCACTTCATTAACAAACAATTTGCCAGTTCCAGTAAGATCTTTCTCTCCGTGCAACTCGTCATTTCCGTCTCCCCCTGTCGGACCCCTCCCCCCCCCCCCCNCTTCGCGGGCGCGCAAAGTGAACGCGCGTACCCATCGAGAGGAGATGAACGAAATTGTCTTCGGAGACGGAAAAGCGTTCCAAGCTGGAAAAGCGTCGATGAGCGACGGACGCTCAGCGACGACGGAAACGAGAAGAACAAACACTTATTACACGGACGTTCTCACAGATCGGTCGCGCCGGTGAGACGTTGGCGCGATTCAGCGAAATTACACACGGGGGTGCGGTGACTCGGTTAGGGTAATTTGCCTCCTGTCGCAAACGGAGCTACTTCTCATCCTTTTTCTCGACAAGAGAGTTAGTACTACGTACAGTAAAAACGTTATCAAAACATACTTCCAGTCCATTCTCTCCCTCCATCTCTCTCACTCTCTCTTTCGCTCTCTCTTTCTCTCGCCCTTTCTCTCTCTTTCTCTCTCTCTCTCTCTCTCGTTTCTTCTCTCACTCCTCGTGAACGCAAAAGTCGTTCAGAGTCTGAATACTGACCGTGACGGTGTAGGTGGAGACGAGCGGCCGGGAGTAGGGTCGCCGGGTCGTGTAGAAGTCGCTCTCGTAAACCATGATTGAAGTTGGGAAACTGGTAGCTCTAACTGGTACTAGTTCGTCGGTCTACTCGATTATTCGAGCGTCGTCGGATACCGCGCGATTCAACTGCTGCCTGTTACTCTAGTCGGGCCGGAAAGTCCGGGCGTCCTCGTCGTGTATATTTTCGTGCGCGCGTGCGAGGGGAGAGGATACGCGACGATGCGGCCGCGGTGGAGGTTCGTACGGTTCTGTTCAGCTTCCTCGATCGCAACACCTTTTCTTCGCCGTCCAAACTTTCCTCACTCGCCCGTCCGCCCGCCATGACCCTCTTCGCGGATACCCCGTCATCCGCTCATCCTCACCCCACTCGCACGCGCGAGTCACTCTCGGTGAGGGTATTGCGTTACTCCTCCCGGCCCCCGCGAATCGGTGCATTCGCGAAAAAAATAGAATCGTGTTAAGGTTGCGGGCGGTCACCCCCGTCATCGCAATTCCTACGAACGTCGGCCAGTCGTTCGGATGGAAATGGCCGTTTTCGCGTCGACTTGCCGGCAGCGTGATCGCACATCACATGGTACCTTAAAGACCTTTGTGGGAATGGAAGAATAGAGGGTGTGAAAATGGCAAATGCAAATTTACAAGGAAACAAATTGGAGTAAACTGTGGAAATGGAATCTGTGATGAGCTGCAGAGAGTAAAAGAAGAGCTTTGGGAATTAAGCCTGGCATGTCCAGAGCAACTATACCTAAAAATATCTAGGAATTAAAAACGTGTTACTTTGATATTTTATTTTTTTAATTATTTCTCTTCCGTGCTGGACCGATATATATGTATACGTGTCTGTAAGTTAAGTCTCTTTGCTCGGTATTCATTTTTCGCGCGCGCGTGCCCCGTTTATAATTCGAGACCTTGTTTTGAGCCTGATCTCATCGGCGGAAAAATATACTTTTCTACGAGCGATATTTTTAGAATGAAAGACGGCCTCGCATACCGAAGGACAATCATGTCAAGGTGCCTCAGAAATCCAGAATTTTTTGTCGAATACAAATCGCCCCCGCCTGTCATGCCAATTTATTACACTTCTATACAAACATATATATAAATGTGAAAAATTATATGAATATAAAAATATTATATTTTGCTTAATTTTAGAAATTATGGTCCGTAACACTTTTAATTTCGTGCTCTGTATACATATACATTCCTTAATAAAAAATAATTTGTCGACATATATCAGAACAATTGCGAATATTTCAGGAAACATTATATCTCGCAGGGAATATATTTATCAGGGACATCCCTGAACGTTGATTTATCGTTGTTTCATTCGCGTGATACATTGCAATTCCTAAAACGGAAAGTAAACATAAATATCAGGCTGTTGTAGAAGATGAAGTTAAACAAATTCCTCGACTGCTTCTTTTAATACTAGCATCATTTCTCGTGGCAGCTATTTCACATAATTTTCCTACGAAAACTCAGTCGAGTCAAGTGGAAAAGTCGTAAAAATATTATATTTAAGTACAAACTATTTTGCCGTAACGTATGCAACGATAAATTACGTTGCGTCAAATTTTACATTGGCAGTCTCCCAGAACTTTGCACAATGGTTCATATTTGGATAACAGTGCCAAAGTTTACTCACAAAACATGTGACATAGCGCGCAAATCATTGGATTACTATTTCAACGTGGGGAAGGTACGATTCACAAGTTGAAAAATAAAATCGTACCAGATGACGTATCCGGATAATATCAACTTCACTTTACGACCTTGTTTCTTATTCTTGTTCGTTATTCTGCCCAATGTTAAAATAATCCTAATAAAACACTTTACAAAAAAGTAAAATAAATACTGAAAATACTAATAATAATAATGAAAAATGCTCTCGTTATTATTTATTATCATATATTATATATTATTATTATATATTATTATTTATTATTATATATTCATTATTATTATTCATATAAAATATTGTATTTTAATAATATCGCTTTATATGTCGAATTTTATCAACATCGCAGGTAGTACAACACTTTTTGCAGACGTAAGAATGGAATTTGCGATTAGATCCAGGCTACAAACTGTTTGTTCTAAGTATAACATAGCTAAATTTCGAAATAAATTCCTAAATAAAACAAAGATGCCAATTGATATAATATGCTTTAACTTTAACATGTCTGCAAAATTAAATTCATGCTTATATCACATAAAAAATAAATAATATAATATACTTTCGAAATGTTAACTTTTGCTTTTTTTATTCGCTCATGACGAAGAATTCTGTGTATTTTATATTTTAATAAAAAAAATTCTCCCAATATTTATATGTGTATTTTAACAAAGAAATGTTCCGATATCGTTAAAATATACCGTAAATAAACGAATAAATATAGCTAAAAAAATCTACTAACCTTCCTTTATACTTGTATTTACTTGTGTGCATAATTTTGGTAGCTGTCAAACCGTTCTCTCTTTCTTTCTCTGCACACATTCGTGGACACAGGTTCGCATTTTCGTAACCTTCGCGTATTCCAAAATTCATCTAGAAAACCCATTTGTTTAATGATTACCACTGCATTTCAAAATAGAACAAATCGACGTCATTTCCGCTGACAAGAAAATTTTAGTACACACTTCGGACACTAGAAGACACAGCTAAAAAGAACAAACCGTTCCATTCCACCTACTTCCCTTTGGTTGGCACGACTGACGCGCGACCGTTTTAGACCAACCGTCTTCAACGGTTTCATGTGAGAGTTTTATTAAAACTAACCACCTAAGAAGTCTGTATTTTTATTATTTGATTGTATAACAACTAGTGATACGTGACGAGCGGAGAACGCATGACAATCAGCAATTGCATTCAACCAACGAAAAAGTAGAAAGTTTAAGGTGTAACGAATGATGAACTGAACGAGTAGTTAGCAAGTATTTTGCTTCACACACACCCTTCATGCACGTCGATCCTCGAAATTTATCGGGATGAGCGCGTCACAAGATGAGAACGAGCGTAAGAAACGTTCTCTGGAGGCTGGCAGAGAAATGGCAAGTATCCTCATTCTTCTACTCATTTGTTAATATAGTTGTCACTTCCAATGTGTTCTTCTGCTGTGCACTACACGTATAACTTGACCTTTACTTTGTTTCTGTTACGTTGATATATTTCTATTTTATGGTTTTTACACTGATTTCTATGTTACTGATTTCATGTTGAGACAGAATTGCATAAATCTTCTTATGTTAAGAATATTCTGTATGCATGTCTTGTGTGCGGTTATGGTTTCATACAACAATAATATTCCTAATTGTATAGTTGGAAAGATACAAGGCAAAGAGATATAATAAGGACAAAAACACAAGCATGGAGAATACAGAGCAGTCTGACGATGAGTCGTTACACACCGACAAGTCCTTGTTGCTTAAAGAATCTGGAGTAAGAATAATAAACTATGTTGCACAAATTTTGGTTTAATATATAAAATATTTATATAAGTAATATAAATTACATTATATTCTCTCGTATTCATGATTTTTCTTATTGTATTAAGGCCAATGAAGGTACATCTTCACGAGATATAACATACAGTAGCGTTAGTGTAAGCGAAGGAGAAGCTGACGCTGACTTAGAAGGACTAGCAGGACGTGTCGCAGAATTGGAAGAGTTATTGGAAGGAAAAGAGGCAATAGTTGGAGCTTTAAATGACGAAATTGATCATTTACGAGCAGAGGCATCTTCGCCAAATTCATCACAGAGTCAAAGCAGCAGTATACATGGAAGAGATATTATATCTTTGTATCATGTAAAAGTATGTTATGTTTGATCATAAATATTTGTTAAATACGTCTTTAAAATTAATTCGGAGCAATCATTAAAAGTTTTACATATCATTTGATTTCTTTTTTGCAAATATTAAACTACAAAAACTGAGCTACGAGATAATCACTATTAAATAACATTATGTTTTATGTTTCTTATAAAACAGTTGCAAGAATTTGAAAGAGCAGTGAATCAACGTGACAATCTAATAGAACACTTAACATCGTCTTTAGCACAGGCATTATCTGCCAGAGATGCTGTCACGGCGCAGCTTAATGCTATGAATTCCATGCAGTTAACCAATTCTATGGTAGATAATGTGAATTTACAACAGAAAGTAAGCGGCACATTTCATATGTTTACAGTTTGCAATTGTTATACGATTATAACCTAATTGAATGATCAACAATTTCCTGGATATTTCTAGATTGACGTCTTAGAAAAAACAATGAATGATCAAGAAGCGTTGATTCGTCGGCTGAACGCGCAACTGACAGATATTCATGAACATGTACAAACGTTGGAGATGGAAAGAGAGACGCGAAACGCAGAAATTAGCGATTATAAGACGCAAATAAATAATTTAAATGAACAAATCCGACTTGGCGCAGCGGAAAAGAATTTAAATATTGACGAAACTTTGGAGCAACAGAAACAGTACGAGGCACGCGTGGATAAAATCAAGCAGGATATGCAGCACATTTTGAATAAGTTCACTGCCGTAACAAATGCTAATGCAATACGTCATCAGCAGGAACTGAAGGTGCACATTTGATAACAATATTCTTTTATACAAGTACCAGGTTATTCGTGGAAGCTATTATATTAAAAAATTTTAATGTTCTGAAAAATTTTTTAATTATCATATATTAATAAGCAAAAAATTATACAAAGTTATCCAACTTCTTATTTGGATGAATTTGTTATGAATATATAGAAAAATTATGAAGGAAAAATTATAGCAAAATTTCGTTCATCGAAATATCGCAATTGCAGGATCTAGCTATCAAAAGTGAGACTGAGATTGCTAATATAAAAACCAAACATGAGGAATCCATGAAGATACTGAAGGATGACAATAAAATGTTAGCCGATCGTTTGAACAAAGATCTACCGGACTTGGAAAGCAGACATGCCAAGGAACTGTCTGTCTTCCAGACGCAGCTAGCTTACTATAAGAAAACCGTCGAGGCGTTGAAGCTCGAGCTGGTTAATCACTCAGAATCGCAGAAGGTCGCTCAGTCGGAAGCGAATCTGTACAAATCTAAGCTCGAGGAGTTCAAATTCGAGGCGGAAAACGAGCGTCGCCGGCAAGGTTTGCACTTCCAAAAGGAGAAGCAGTTGCTGACCGAGCAGATCAAGTTGCACAAAATCCAGTTGGAGGATATCACGTCGAAGCACATCGCGACGATGAGCATTCTGGAGTCGAAGGAGAGCATCGAGCGATCGCTGGAGCAAGCACTGATGAACGCGGCCACGCTGAAGCAGGAGAATGACACGCTGAAGTTCAAGCTGGACGATCTGTCGTGCAGATACTCCATGGCGCAGTCGGCGATTGAGAATAGTCAGATGCACGAGAGGACTCTGAGCGGCAGAATGTACGATCTGGAGAGGTCTTTGTCGCGTTTCGACGCTACGAGCGTCAGCACGAATAGCGAGCTGTGCGAGACCATGTACAAGACTTTCGACGAGGAAGCCATTCAGAATCAGATGGTGCGGCGAAATCTGGAGGAGAAGGCGGAAGTAGAGAGGCTGCTGAGCGAGAGGATCCACACGCTCGAGGAGAATCTGTTCAAAGCAAACGACGAGCTGAAACAGGCCGATCTCGCGAAGAGGGCCTACGAGAAGCAGTTGAAGGACATGAGAAACACGAGCGACAAGCTGCAGCAGGAAGTCAATTCGTTGAGAGAATCGAGTCGCGCGATATCTCGTGACACCTCGCTCGAGGAACGCTCGGAAAACGCTGCGGTGATTATTGAGAACGACTCGACACGACGACTGGTGGAGGATCAACAGAGAGAAATCGAGAGCTTGAAGCTGCTGTTGGAGCAGAGAGAGACGGAGAATGCGAGCTGCAAGAAGGATCTGGCCGAAATGACGGATAAAACGAGGAAACTGGAGGCGCAGTGTCAGCAATTGAAAGATGGCCTGGCTAACGCGTGGGCTCAGTGCGAGGAGTTCGAGCAGAAGTTGAACCAGACTATGAACGATAGCAACAGAGTGAACACCTCCGTGAACAGCACGATTTCGTCCAAGCAGCTGGGAACGAACGAGAGCTTGGACAACAGTCGGAACACGGCGGATCAGAGGAAAGTTCCGGAGCAGGACGATACCGACGCTAACACTCTGACGGACGAGAATTGCCTGAAGAACGACCAGCAGAATCTGTACAAAGAGCTGCAGCAGATTCTAGAGGGCGAGTCGAGTCTGGATGAAGTCAAGGTGAAGTTGAACCGTTATTACGCTGTGTGCGAGAAAATAATCGAGGAGAAGGCGCAGTTCTTGTCGGAGAACGCCTCGCGGGAACCGCAGGATGGCGGAAATACTTTGCAGAAATCCTTGGATAACTTGTGCATGGAGAAAAAGCTATTGACCCAAGAAATCGAGGACGCGATGAATCGGCGTAAGGAGCAGCTGGAAGCTATGAGAGCCGATTCTGCGAAAGAAATCAACAGATTGCGTTTGTTGTTGCAGAATCTCAAGGTGAGTCACTTTCACATTCTATATTGAACGATCATTAGATTGGTAGATGAACGTCAAGTGTCGGGGACAACGTGAAATGGAGAATATAGGCTTGATACATTTACTGGGCCAATCAAAAACTTCGGGTCGATTTTTTTAACCGAATTTGATTTCATCACATTTAACGGAAACGAAGTATTTTCGGGACTTTTTGATTTAAGAGTGCTCATAAAGAACACATGAGAACGACTCACTTGTCTTCGTTTATTTGGGAATATCTCACGTTTGTCAGTTTTTATAAGAAAAAAACTTTCCTACTTGTGACTTAAAAAAAAATTAGATTGCAAGATATCATGTTCAATAATTAGTTTCTTCAAAGGCAAGATAAAAGATTCCAAGAAATCAGTAATCATGATTTCTACGACACACATTCATAAAGTGGAGAACTGAGATTTAATTTTTAAGCCGTTTTTACCAGATTTGTCAGAAAAACGAATCATGACCGTCGTGAGCACACCTGACTGTGTTTTCTCGATTCTTTCGATTTGTCCACGTTTGTCCATCCATAATTCTTGTCTGTTCGCCGAGTCAAAACGAGATCTTAACTTATAGGTATTATCATTTAGGTCGATTTTTCACTAATGAATTGTATTTCCTGTCTCTAAAGGGTGGTAGTGCAAGTATGAACGATTTGAAAGTCGAGCTGGAAGCGCGCCATGCCAAGGAGATGGAAGAGCTGAGAACATATTTCGAACGGAAATGCCTGCAGATGGAAAAGCAGTACTCCGAGGAAGTATTCAGTCAACAATCCAAGCGAATCTCCGACAACGACAGCGAAACCGAAGAGCTGACCGACGACTTGTACTTCGGCGGTGCCGGAGACTGTCTGAATATGTCTAATTCACGAGCGGCGACTCCCAGTGCCATCGAGGAGTCCCTGAGAATCCGTTTTCTGGACGCTGAGAACCAAACGCGAATCGAGACGGAATACGAAAACGACATGAGAGCCTTGCGGCAGGAATTAGAGCATAAAGTAAATGAGATTCAGAGTATCAGGACTGCCTATGAGAAAGCGATCGAGGAACAGAAGGAATTGTTCGAATGTCAAATTCGCGATATTGAGGCGAAGCTTGAACGTTCGCAGACTATTCCCGTTGCGCACCAGGTGAGAGCCGTCTTTCTCTTCACACTTTGAGTTTGTTTTGTTAATAATATCGATTAATTCTCTTTTTTTTTTTTTACTGCAACAACTTTCGCCTTCCTCGATGCGTAATATACGAATATTGCTTGCTTGCAAGCTTACTTGTTAATAGTGTCTGTTAATGAAGTCCCTAGGATCACAAAGAATTTGTCAGACTGCTTTCACTCATATCGATGATATTTCTCGCAAAGAGTTCTGAGAATCCTTTGTAAAATTGATGAAATATGTCGAAATGTAAATGCACGGTATTTGATTGGTGTGCGCTAGTCGTCTAATATATTTCTCGTTTCTCAGTGTGAATACAATCTCCTTCACTTAGTGTAATCAATATGTACATATTCTCTTTGTATTTATGAGAAGTAAATAGAGAGATTTCTCTCATATCTCTTTCTCTCTCTCTCTCTCTCTCTCTCTCTCTCTCTCTCTCTCTTGATATTTTATGTTGAAGTGGTATATTTATTTGTGACTAACATATCGCCGTGTGACTTCATGTTTGCATGCAGTATTGTCAGACAGAATGGGAAGCATTGGAGAATGGTGAATTGTCAAATTTGCGTGCTGCGTATAATCATCAGTTGCAAGAGCAGATCGAGCTAGCTAGACAGGATATTGTCAACGGTCTGCTAGAACAATTTGAGGTAGATGTGAATTGTCCGTGAGACTCCGCTTATTAAGAATTAAATATAAGTGACGTAACAATAATGATACGAGTAGTAGTAGTAGTAACAGGATGATCATAATTTCTGGTTTTGTTGGCTGTTTTCATTCATACGAATTTTGAACGTTTTTTTTTCTTTTTCGTTTGACATTATTTTCTCGCTCCTTAGTAGAAGCTCATTGCAAACCATTAGGGGGTATTTATTGAAAAGTTGTGTTATGGTTGCGCAGACGCTATTATCGGTGGAAGAAGACAAAGAAGACGATTGGCCGGCCGAGTTATTAGAATTGCGGGACAAATTTACTCGCAATGCCAAGCAAGAAATTCAGGAATTGAAGAAAACGCATAGCGCGGAATTGGCACGACTGAAAGATGAGCACGACTCCGTCGTAACGAGAGTGCTTGAACAATGTCAAAAGGAAATCAGCCTTCTTAAGGCGCAAAATGCAGCTAAGACGCAAGAAACTATTTACGTCGGATCTTCGGAAAGCAATATTACGGAAGAAAGGTGATTAATGGTTTGTCGAATATAGATAAGATTTAGTCATTCGGAAATATCTGACGTAAACTATTTCATACGATTAACTCCCTACTAAATGTTACATTTTTTAATTATACACACTAATGTTTGATTCTTCGTCAGAGATAATCTGCGGAGGACGTGTGCGACTCTCCAAAATTTAATTGGGGAATTGGTGAAATACTTCGCCGTTTGTGAAGAGGAAGTTAACAACACTTTGATCAACGAGGTTTTGAGAAGACAGTTATCAGAGTCCGCCTTTAACTGCGAAGAAAACTTAAGCAAAGACAATAACACTCCTGTGTCAGAGGCACAATGCAAGGATCTGTCCAATCAACTGGTTAAAAGAGTCCATTTCGCTCCACAATTCAACAAAATCACATCTATCGTTAATAGCGACACTAGGACGCTGCAAAGCTTGATCGACGAAGACGCGGACGAGAAATTGAGGAAAGAGTTGAAAGCTTGCTTGAGACGCTTGAAGTCGGATAGTACGGAAATCCTTAATTCTTCGCTACCGTGTGGCAAAGACAAAGTCGCATTGCCACCAAAGGATACTGACTTGACGAGCAAAATTAACGAAGAGCTTTCCTTGAAGTTAAACCATGCTGAAACCTTGATAATGAGTTATCAAGAAGAGACGGAACAGCTGAAGATGCATATCTTGGAATTGCAGCGGAAGTTGATTAATGTGGAAAACAAGAAAGAAGTCATTACGGAAGGATACGGTGAGAGTGATCTTCCCAGAGGCGATATTGGACTGCAGGACTTTTCACAGCTGCAAGAAAAAGGTACATTCTTGCATCGTTTATTTTTCCTGGTTCTCCAACACTTTTCAATATATACACACTTTTCAATATATATTTATATATATTTCATAATATGTACCTTAATATATATATATATATATTTTTTTTTTAATACAATCCACAGCTAGACACGTATTATCGAACGGCGGCGGCGACGCATCTTATTTACTGCAATTAATAGAAGAGCTATGCAGGCAGAACGACAAACTGATGGACGATGCTAGGAAGGACAAAGAGGACTTGCAGCAGCAGGTAAAATCGTTTATTAATCTTGCTCGAGATTTGCACCGTTGCATGATTTCTAATTACTCGATATTGGTATGCCAGTATAGTGATGAATATTGAGATATATTGTATGTTGAATACGGTTTGTCTGGGTAGTTCGTCAGATCTATATATCTTCCGTATTTCTCTATGAGCTTTACGTTCGTATTATTTACACCGTACGTGTTCTCTATCGATAGTGATGTAGCGACAGCGATATTTTTATTTACATAGCACACGAATGTTTTTCACACGATGTGTAATTGTGACGAATGTAAATTGTGTTATTATTTTTTCCATTATTTTAATTTTTTTTTTTCCATATTACAAATGCAAGTAGCGTCAGGATTATTTATAAGGAATCATGCTTTATTACGCACTATTGTTACGCATTATTATAATATGCAGAGTGTCTTAACCCGTCAGTTCCCAAATGATTTGAAACCACAAATTTCTGTTTCCTCTTAGGAAATCTCATATTTTGCAACCTAAGGAAACCAAATTTATAGGTTTCAGAAAAGTGGTAATGATAAAGTTTGGAAGGTTATTTTTCGCTTATGTATCGCTTTTATTCAGTGTTGACAATTTGTTTTAGAGTCACTAGTATCTAAACTGAATACTTAGAGCTATGTTATAGGTTGGCAGTGTTATTTCGATGGTTTATAAGTCAAAAATATTGAGCCACCTGAAGGGTACATTGGGAACTGACGGGTTAAGAAAGCTGAATGGTTTGAACTATATTTTTGATCTAGGAGTTTGTAGATTTTACATGATATTGTAGACTTTTAAATCTTCTTACATTCTTAGAATTTGAAATATTTAAAACTTCACTATGTTATTTCCCTTCTTGTGATTCATTCTGTGGCCCTCGGAAATTCAATGAAATCGGTTTCATTAATATAAATGGATTCTTAGTGTTTTGACAATTCACTTTGAAAATAATCATTTATATATGTAATATTTATTTTTCTTCTTACACCCTGTATAAAATACGTCTGACGTCCCACAATGATTTTTAAAACAGTCAAAGATACAAAATCAATAGATTAGTAAAAGATTGTGTGTACATGGCACGTGTGGCAATCGAAACGTATATCGATACAGATATTGTTCAGCAATAATAAGTAACATAAATGCAATCGACCGTTAAGTAAATGAAAAAGATATTGTCCAAATCAAAAGTGCTGAGCTTTGCGATGCAGGTTTTAAGAGATTGATTGGCGTTCTGTTATCTTGCCAGCAGGTGCCTTTAGAACCTACTCCTACCCCATACATTCACAGGGTTTGCTGCGAAAAGGTAAATTATAGAATTACTAATATTATCATAAACGCTGTGCGTAAGTTACTTCCACAAATCGGCTATAATAAATTAATATATGTAGCATTTCTCTTTTTCCACGAAAAGAAGTGCAATTACGAGCTTTCATAGAAATATCGTTTCTCCCATTTCTAACGTGTCAAAAGTGTTAATTACGTGTGTATTTATCATAGTGCTGCTAAATGGTTATATGTAATTATGATTATTATGTTCGTTAATGGTTTGTTGCATGTTGTTGTAAAATCTAATAATTGCTTCGCACGCTTATTGTAGACGTTATCTTATTAGATTGTGTACAAAGTGTGTATATATATTTTTTTTACTGCAAAATTATATTTTCAAAGAATTTAATCCCCGGATTCTTACAAATTTGAGTAATTTCTCTTCCCAATTAGCTTAAGAAAGCAACTAGAACAAAGACACGTATGATGGAAATTCATCATACTACTCATGAAATTGATATACTGTTTTTCTAACACAGAGGCTGTGTGTGGACACACATAACTTATCCTTGTAAAAATGCAACATGAGTCGCTTGAGCAATGTGACAATTTTGAGAGAATTCTCCTGACCTGTTTTTAGCAGTTCGTTCCTTTCGCTACATGCATATTTAGTGTGACGCAACAATTAATTTCTAACTGAAGTTACGTTTGTTTAGATCGAGGCAGCGGACAAGCAGTTGCGAGCGACGCGCCGATTTCTGGACGAGCAAGCGAGCGAACGCGAGATGGAGCGGGATGACGTCGCGAAGCAAATACGCTTCTTGCAGGAACAACTGAAGGAGCGCGAGCGCGAAAAAGAGAGAGATATGCGTATCAGTTCTGAGGTAAAAAATTCCCATTGGAAATTGTTTTATTTTTAACGTGGAGAATTTTTCTCTTTTATATATAACGAACATGATGCTTCTCGTAATCACCCGCTGGTTCAGGGTATATGTTTCTTAATTAGCTCTTGATTAGTGCCGTCTTAGAGATATCTCAATTTATATTAAAGTTCAATTTATGTTATCAAAACCCAAAAGGTCGCAACACTCTTTAAAAATTTCGGCACGGCCTCTAAGAAATTTTACGTAATAATTCGACTGTACAAACTAATCAAGGGTCAATTAACATCTTGTCAATTCTTAATTCCTGAATTCACTTCTGCAGTTACTGCACTAACCAGGAAATTTCATCTGGCACAATGACTGCCACTTTTGAATCTTAACTTAAGGTTTTTGGTGGTTCACTTTTAATTTAACATTTAACATAGAATTAAAACTGCTGGAGAAGGGTACATGCCACTTGACCGTAAAACAGAAACGAAGTATAAGAAAATTTGGAAGACAGAACGTTCTTTTATTTTCGATTAAGTAGAGTTAATTAAGATTTCAATTCGATTACGAATATGTTTCACTTTCACGACCGAATACTGGCAATTTTACACTTCTTTTGCTGCGTATAGAACTTGCAGTTAGTCGGACATGCACCTCGACCAGTAGCCTTTCAGTTTTCGTTTAGTTTCCTGGAGAGCAATTTAATACATAATTTAAGTTGAACTAAAAGGAAAGGCTCATTACCGTGGAAACTTGTATTTGCCAGCAGTTAGTGTCACGCATCACTACTAATTGTATTAACACGAATTTTTCTGCACTCTGGTTTGGGTTTTACGTTTGTCGCACAAAGCAGTCTGAGCTATCATCTGAAACATCTTCAGACGCGGCTGAGCTTCAAACAGTTGACGTCAATGCAACCGTGAGTGATATTGTATTTCATTCGATCTTTCGTTCTCGGTTCTCTTGATACACATACAGTGGATAAGAAAAGTTTACCCGTATGTTGTTCGACAAAACATTATCTGACAAATTATTTTATTTTTGACAATTTTATAATGTCCTAAAACTATCGTTGCTTTATTTTTTATTAAGCGTTTTCCGTGGCACAATTGTTATTGAATTTTTAGTTCACCTGTTATCGATTTTCCCAGATTAACTCGTGTCAAATTTGACACAACCCGGTTGATTCAGCGGTATCATTAGCAAAGTTGAATCGCTTATAACTCGATAAATAGGGTGACGGGATGTTGTTTATCTACATTTATCACGTATAATTGGCAAAAATTGAATACACATCTACGTTCAGACTACTTATATTGACAGAGTTATACAGGCGTTTAAAAAAAGGAGTCCGAGACTTTAGCGGTGTATGGTACTCACCAAGAGTAAAGAATAGATTAATCAGGTGTAGTACTCTTGGTGAATCTGCTCTGTGACCCTAAAATCCGGAACCTTTGTTTAATAACTTGTTCATGTTTCATTTATTTTGCTGGATAGACTTTTCAGTGTTTTTCCTCAGTTGTATATTTTTTTAATTATTCATATTTCCGTAGTTCTCTTTTTTTACCCACTGTATATGTTGCTAGATGATGATCATAACCGTAATAATTACTACGTCTCTGCGCTTTATATGTTGGGTTACGCTTGATTGGAGTTGTAGGTGACATCTTGAAAAAGACGATACGCGAATAATACTCTGCACGTTTCTACATATGTGACTTATGATTTAGGTGGAGGCTCTCGAATCTCAGATGAGAGAGATGTCGTCGTTGATGTCGGACACGGAAGCCAAGAAGTCGGAAAAGGAGAGCGAACTGAAGGCTGCGGTGGACAAGATATGGGTCCTGCGGGAAATCATTAAGGATTTGGAGCAACAGCTGCAAGTCAAGATTGAGAGGGAGGAATCCTTGCAAGTACAAATCGGTCAGTTGGAGACCGTGATAACGGCGCAGACGAAGAACCAACAAGAGCTGGTCCAAGAGTTGGACGCCATCAAGTCCGGCAGCGAGAGCAGGCAGCTGAATGAACAAATTATCCAATTAGAAGTGAAGATATTTGGATGCATATATATATTTGAGTAAAAGCGAGAAGATGTTCGCGGAATGATCACAGCGTAGGTTCTTTTCGTGTCTTAGGAGGAATTGCACAAACACAAGTTGAGCTCGGAACATTTCAACGTGAACTCGTCCGTCCTGAAGCAGATGAAAACGGAACTCCGTGAGATGCAGAATCAATTGGACAAGAGAATTCGAGAACTGGAATCGGCGCACATGTGCGGCTCAAATTTGAGCCTGAGCCAGCCGAGCGAAGACGTTTCCATCAGGGAACAGATCGACGCAACGAGATGCCTGACTCCGGATGACCCGACCTCACCACCGATGCTGCCTTTAGATCAAGTGCTCAAACTAAAGGATAAGATGCTGAAGCATGCGCGAGCGGAGGATGTGGCCTTCAAGAGGATCAAGGATCTGGAGATGCAGTTGACAACGATGAAAAATCAAAACGAGGTTCGCCCTGTCCGTGTAATATTTGAAATTAGAGGACGAGGGGAATGAGGAGAAGGAAAGGGAGGGGGATGGAACACGTATAGATTTCACAAACAATCAACAAGTACGCTTGAAAAAGATTAATCTGCTTGAAGCCAACAATTACGAAAATTATAAGAAAGATAATTGTTACATATTTACAACGAGATATTTCTAGATTATGATGTTTGCTATCTTTTGTTGATTTTATTACGTTTTGCTGTAGGAATTAATGGCGGAGCAGGAAATCTTGCATCAGACGGCGTCCGAGCAATTGTTCCAAATCGAGACGATGCGCGGCCGCTTGGAACAACACAAGCAGAGTGCTCCATTTGTCCAGAAACAAGCGACGTCACGTTTAGAATTACAGCTTCATGAAGCCACCACGAAGTATCACTCCTTAGAACAGATCGTTATCGACAGGGAGCTAGAGGTAATATCTGGCTCAGTTGTAACATAACACACGATGATAATCCACTTTTCACCGCTATTAATTTATCAGTTTATCAATCGTCGATTTGTCAATTTACCATTTCTAGGTGAAAGAGTTGAGAAATCAGCTCGACAGGGCTAATCAGTTACTGGCGGAAAAGGAAACGGAGGTGGAAAACCTCGTGCAGTCGGAACGTGGCGCGCTGCAAAAGCTGAAAGAACAACTGAAACTCGTTCAAGAGGAGAGGAATATGTTGCAGGTGCGCAGAGCTTAACTTTCCTTCAAGTGCGCTCGCGTCCTCAAAACGCCATAGATTAATAATGTGTACCGATTGACTTGTCAGATACAGCTTGGCGCGCAGCAAGAGCATGCCCAATTACCGCCGCTGATCGATACCATATTAGCTGACAAAAACGAGGAGATCGATCATCTGAAGGAGCAACTGTCCAAGAAAGAGAAACAGTTAGAAGCGTATTCGTCTTCACTCGCGTTGAACGACGTGCAGTTGAAGGATCTGACGAAACAGGTGGAGCCCAAGAACAGCGCGCGTACATTGAGCGACATCATCTCCATTCATTCGGAATGCGAAGAATACCCCGAAAACATTCGGGAGCCCAACGTAACTCATGTGTCACACAACCTGTCCAGTTTCCGAGTTTCCGGAGCCGCGAAGAATACGTTAAAGTAAAGTGTCAAGCAAATCAGCGTAATTTAAAAGAGCAGTTAATCTCCGTTCAATTATTTTATTTTTATTCCCCCGAAATCAGAATCTTCAATTAGAAATTAGAGAAGTATCGGCGATTCGATGGTTTCATGCCGGTTATTTTAACAACGATAGAAGACGTCTGGTTTCGGTTGATCAAACAGATCCTAGTAACTAGCAATGCGGTGTTCGTGTAGGAAGAAAAGTGATCAAGTTATGTTACTGTGTTACAGTCCCAACAATACAAACAGTTTGAACACTTTGGAAGCGCCTTTGTTCGACGCGGACAAAATGGACGCGCAAGTGCCATCGTTGGATTTGGATTCACATACCCACACACAGAGCCCCAGCAACTTCGTTCACAATTCGGAACTGGAATTGCACCACACCGAGGACGAATCAAAATCATCGTCCGCCAAGAACAATGACAGCAGCGAAGGTATGCTATTGCTTCTGCGTGATTATCAAGTAATCGTAACAGATTTGGCGCAATTTAACAATTTGAAGTGTCTGAACTGGATAAATGAAAGATGTTTAATTATTCTATCGTCAAACAGTGATAGAGGTAACCATTGTAACCATTGTTTCAGATTTCCAACAAGCCGAGTTGCTCAATGAAAAATTGAGGGAGATCGAGAACTTGTCGAGTCAGTTGCAAACTGTGCAACGGGAATTGGAGACGAAGTCCGATCTTCTGGTTAAGTACGAGACAGATTTGACTTACCTGCAGAAACAATACCAAGACCTGCACGACGAATACAAGGAAACGGTCGAGAACCTGGTGCGAGACAAGAATTTCTACAAAGGCCAGTACGAGCTGACTCAGGCGTCGGAGAACAAGATCAAGAAGGACCTGGAGGAAGTGGAGAACATCTTGAAACTGAAGATGGACGAGCTCGAGGATCACAAGGATAGGCTGCAGGTGAACGAGAGGATCCTCACGGAACTGAACGCCGAGAATATACGGCTGAAGAAGGAGATGGAGAACAGGGAGAAGGATCAGTCGAGAAGGAGCAGCTTGTTGCTGCAGGAGAAGGCGCAGGAGCTGCAGAGGTTCAAGGAACTCATTCTGGAGAAGGACATTACGCTGGAGACGCTGCAGACGCGCAATATCGAGATCGAAAACGAGAACAAGCAGCTGTACGATTTCAAGACGAGGGTTTACGCGCGCGAGCAGGAGATCGTCAAGTTGCAGGACGAGGTTCTAAGGTTGACGGACGGCCTGAACAACCGGGACCTGGTGATCCGCAGGCTGGAGGAGCTGGCGAGGCGAATGAGCGACAGCCACTCGGGCGCGTCGTCACCGTTGTCCCCCGGCAGCAAGAACCGAGAGATCCATAATTTGCAGGAATTCTTGAAGGAGCAGGACAAGGTGATCAGACAGATGAGCGACGACAGCAAGAGTCTGCACCGAGCGTTGGAGATTATTCAGAGCAAAATGAAGGAATCGGGTAACGTCGTGGAGCTGAGGAAGAAACTAAAGGACGAGCGTAGCCTGAACGCCGAACTGAAGGACGCGGTGCAACGACTACAGAAGGAACTGGAAGACCTGAGGGATGCGTGGGTGCAGCGTTCACAGGACGACAGTGACATCGAGGATATGGTCCAGCGGGAGTTGAACCTCTCCGCGCAGTTGGACGAGCAACTCATGCAGGTCATCAAAGACGACGGTGAAGAAGTCGCGGCAGGAACGTCGGAAGGGCAGCAACAGCCGGCTCAGACGTACAAGGACAACGAGGCGCTGAGGAGGTTGAAGGACGACTTGGAGGTTGAACGAGATATGATGAAACATCAAATTGCCGAGTACGAGGACCGTATCCTGGAGCTGAAGGCGGACCTGGTGGAAGAGACGAAGAAGATGGCCAAGCTGAACAAGGACTTGATCACGGAAAGGAACACCGTGCAGTTCCTGAGGGTGCAGATCGACGAGCATCGCCGGGTGACGGAAGCGGGACGTGTTCAGGACACCAAGTTGATCGAGTTCCTGCAGAGTAAACTGAAAGCTTCTCTGGAGAATGAGGAGAAACTCCGCAATGACCTGGCGTCGATGAATCAGCAGCAGATCAGTCTCGATTCTCAGTTGACGTCTATGAGAAAGTTGATGGAAGCGGGAAACGCCAACAAGGGCTCGTCGAAATTCGCCCCAACCTGCCGGAATGAATTGCAGAGGTACGCGTGCCAGCTTTGAATTTATTTATTTAATTATATCTCTGTAGAATGTAGAATGCTGGTACAGTGAAATGTTTGTCTTGCGAAATATATCGGGGAAAACTCGAGCATACACCTCTTTCGCCTTTCAGCCGTCAAAATCGTAATTTTCAATATTTCTAAGTTCAACAAAACACTGCAACAAAAGATTGCTCCATAAGAAATTATTAAAATCCAAGATCACTCTGTTACACGTTACGTATCTCGGCAATCTCGTCCGTATCGCGTCAGTTTGCTAATTGATTTTGACGTTTCCCTCACTCTGAAGGGCAAGCTCAGATCCCAAGGAGAATCGGGACAACAATGCTGAGCTGCGGGATAACATAAAGCGGCTGGAAGTGGAGATGAGTCGGTACGAGAAGCGTCTGGAGATCGCTACGGAGGAGCGGGAGAGACTCATCAGCGACTTGGCGTTGGCCAACGGGCGCAAGGAGATCTTAGAGGCGGATCTGCAGAGAACCATCAAGGAGCTGAAGACACGGGAGGAAGAGTGTGATTATCTGCAGAAGCAGATACACGTGCTGACCGAGGCCGGGAGCAGGAAACAAGAGCAACGTGACGTCGAGATGGGTGAGATCAAAGGGCTGCGCCGAGAAATCAACATCGCCAGGGAGACCCGGATAGACCTGGAGGCCGACATCAAGTACGCGAAACAGGAGCTGAAGGAGACCTCGGAGCGGGAGCTGAAGCTCGCGCGCACAGTGGAGTCCTTGAAGGAGCGGGAGGCCGAGCTCAACACGAAACTAGCGCTCTCGAAGGAGCGGGAGAGGAAGCTGAAGGAATTGATCGAAGAGCTGCAGGCGAGCTTGAGCGCCGCTATCTGGAGGGAGGAGGACATCAGAGATCTGAGGAACAAGCTGTCGGACGCGAAGGACATTCCCGTGAACTTCGCACGGCAGATCAGAGAGCTGCACGAGAAAGTCGAGAAGTATGCCGCCGAGAGGAATTACTTCCAGGACAAGCTCGCCCGGACGAGAGAGGAGAAAGAAACGTCGGTGCAGCATATAAGGGCGCTCGAAGGGCAGATCAAGAGATTGAAAAACGCCCAGGCCTCGAATTATCCGATTCCCATCGAGAGGGTACGAGACATTCCTTATGTGATTTCAGCACAGAGCACTGCGCGATGTACGGTTTTATAAGTATTACATTTTCCTTTTCACAGTTGCGAAATTTCTACGGCAAGTATCTGCGAGTGGACAGCAGACGGAAGGCGTTAGCCTATCAGAAGAGGTACTTGCTGTGTATAATCGGCGGTTTTCAGTATTGCAAGGAGAACACGCTGTACGCTATCGCGCAAATGACACAAAATCAACGATCGTACACGCGGTTGCAGCACGGAAAGGTGCGTCTCAAGATCGTTGTATTAGTGGTTATTGGTACACTGAGGATGAAGTGGTTGATCGAACGCTGGCGAATGGGGAAACGCGTGGGCGCCAACGTTCTTATGGATTGTATCGACCAGTTAATCGAGAAGCCGCTCACCAGGAAGCCTACGTCTAATCATTCTCCGCCTGTCAGAGAAAGAGCGACAGCGAAGTAAGTAGAGCGATTATCAAATAAATTAAATTTTTAGTCAAGAAATACTGTAATATAAAAATGCTAATAATTGTTTCTTACATTTCTTCTTTATTTCGTATAATTTAAGATAATTATATATAATTAAGGAATACCTCGCTGAAATTATATCGTCATAAGTAACATTTAAAAGATTCTAATCAGTGGCGTTTGTTTGTAAACAAATTATCAACGAGAAGTTATTTGAAATGTTTATAAAAAAGTTATTAACAAAACAAAGAAAACAGAGAGTTGTGAAAATGTGGAATTCGTTAGAACTCCACGAAGTATGAAATTTGTTGCTTCTATGTATTACCTTCAGGCAATGTTTTGGTCACAAACATATGCAAATCAAGGTAATCGGCGAGGTGCTCCTTAGCATGTATAATTATTAAATTTAACATGTTCGCTACTAGCGCCACACATATGTCACTCGACGATCTCTCATCATAGACCGACGTTTACATATACATATGACAACGATTTTTTTATGTTCACTTAAGCAAATTAAGTTTATCTTATATAATTACAAAAAAGCAAGACAGTCTGTAGAAAAGGTTCTTCAAGTGAACCGTGATAGCGAACGTGTTAAAAAGCACATATTCTTTATATCTCATTAAAATATACACATTACAATTTACGTGCGATTCGCATGTTTTAGTGGATGTGGCGAATTAAACGATTTTGCACTTGAACAGTATTACCAACAAGTAAGAAACTTCCAACAGACAGTCGAATCAGCTATGGCGGACTCTGGAACTAGTCATATTATCTCAGAATAACATTACATGTATATTTTTAGTACACCTAGAAGTTTATCTGTACAGTGTTAGCATTAAGTGTTGTCATGTAATTGTTAAAACGGTGCATTATAGAGGTCGTGTTTTTTGAACTGGTTCTTTACAGTTTTACGATTTAGAAGTTTTTAGATCATTGGACCAATATCGACTTTTGGAATTGTCCAATTTTGAATTTCTATATTTTGGAGAAATTAGTATGTTGGGAATACTAATTTAACGAAGAAAAGACTTTCATATGAATTATATATTATTGAAATTTAATTTAATTTAATTTTTATTGAATCTTAATGAAGTTATTGATGAAAAATATTATTTTTAATCAGTGTTCGCTGTCTCAAGGTCTTCGAGTGGAAACTTTTCTTTATTTGCCACTTACTATTTCCCCCTTTTTGAGAAATACGACCTATATTTTACACTAAATTGCAGTCGTTGATAACCGATCTGCATGGGATTTCTATTTCCGTTCGACTGCACGGTTTACATCGCACCGATTTATCGTTAACACTTGATGATGGAATGTAAATTTCGTCAGGTCGACCGGAAGTAAATGGAACTGGGCATTTACACAAATTCTGTAATAGACTGTCGATTTTATATTTTTTTAACTCGTTCACGTGTCACGCACGAGACTAGAATCACGATATTTATCTCTCATTAATTGCGGTGGCAGAATTTCGACATGTCACCGATAAAATATGAGAAAACGGTTGTCGTTAATGGGTAAGGAAGGGTGTTTGCGTGTAGTTTTTAGGGTTGCAGGATACGTACGTGAGAGACTTCGATCAGTTATCGGCGGGAGAAAAACAATTTCTCCGCGAAAATTACAATTAGCGTTAGACGTTGCGTGTTCGTTCACGATAATGTGCGGACTATATTAGTGTAGATTACATTGTAAGTAAGAGTGAACCCCGCGTGCCTTGTACGCCATAAAGCGCGTCCATTATTTATTAATCGACGGATTGTAATAAGCTTTTTATATATCGCGAGTTGCATGCAGTGTAAACACTTTTTCCGTGAGATGCGTAATAAAGAATTGATCTTTTAATACATGTGGATTGCTTATTAAATATACATATACACAATAGTCTCCTATATATTCGGTACATTTACTAGTAAATATACTGTGGTACAATAATTATAATCGACCCCGATTGTTCTTAAATTGCTTAAATTTTTGTAAACTTAAAAGAATTTGACAGAAAATAAAACTTAAATCGTTAAGTGAGAAATCTCATGCCTCCACTTTAAGATGTGTATGTATATTTTTATAACTTGTTTCATCTCTACTACATCATTACTACAAAAAAAAAACGCGGTTTTCGTTGGAGTAATACTTCTAAACATTCGCCAGTTAATTGAAAGTTGATAAGATCTTTTGTTTTTGTTACGGATTCAACCGCTGGAAGATCCTGTTACCGATGCCTTCCTCCAGTATCGCGTGGTTGCCTGATCTTCAGGTGCAAGAGAGCTCGCACGCAGCAACACGAGTGAATTCGGCCGCTCCGCCGTAATTGCCGCGATTTCCGCTGTGCGGCGACGCGCCCACCGGCTCGCTCGCGAGAAAATGTATTCCCGCGAGGTATATCTCTCTCTCTCTCTCTCTCTCTCTCTTTCTGCATACAGGCATCTTTACGGTTTCAGAGTGGTACACGTGCGTATCAATTTCTCACGTTATAATTGGACACAGTCCAATTATAAGTCGCTTTCGAGGGATCTTAGAAATGTCTCTGGGCACACACGGTTCTATCGTCCAATTATCCAGTGGGCGATCTTGTTTACTCGTGTTTATTACCACTGAATAGAGAATGTGACCGAAACGCTTGGTATACAGGCCATTTCGTAGGAAGGAAGGAAGGAAAGAAACGTTTGGTATTCTTTTTTACATGTACATGCATTTGCATCAGTTTTGATGTCTAAATAAAATTTATTTATGGCATTAATTTAAACATGCTTTGGCTCTTTACGGCCTTATATTTGACGTGATTAATTTGTTCTTTTAAGGAAATGAATTCGGAATATGCGACAATGGTAAAGGAGCTTCTAAAAAAAACACAGCGAGCTTAGCGAAAACCTTCTTGAGGAAAAAACAAGTTCCTTCAAGGAAAAGACTTCCTAGAGAAAATGCTGCTTGAAGAAGAAAAGCTCCTTCAAGGAAAAGACCAAGGTCTCTCGGGAAAAAGGCTTCCTGGACAAAATGCTGCGTGAAAAAAGGGACAAACTTCTCCAGCTTCAAGAATTCCATCAAAGAGGAATGGATCTTAAAATTAAGTTGATTGAGTCACAACATAATACGGAAATAGTAAAAAAAGAACTGGTAATTATATCTTTTAGACCTTAAATTTAGCCATGCCATTTAATATCGTCTTAAGAATTTATCTTAATATTTTACTTTTACTGTATTCTTTTAGGCTGATGTAAATGCATAACATTTATTGGATATTCAAGCGTTCGATATATGTAGTGTTTTGGAGAAATTTGATAGCAAAATGTTTAGCTCTTATACTGTGTCAACTAGGTATGAAAAATGGAAACTCTATATTAGCATATCAGAAGTTATTAATATCCTGAAAGAAGTTGGCTTCACTGATATAACAGAATTAGCAAACATTGCGGTTTCATTATATAAAAAAATTAAGTACTGCAGTACATGAAATAGAAGATAAAAAAGTTAATGTTAGGTCAACATATCTAATAAACGATGAATGGAAGCTGATTACAGCTATTTGGAACTTTTACCCGCTTCCTACAGGATCATTAAGGAAACGTATAGAGAATGGAGAAGAAATTGTAGTTGAAAAACGCGCAGGCCTCGAATCATGAGATTCCTATCGAGAGGGTACGAAACATTCCTTATGTGATTTCAATACAGAGCAGATAGCATAACGCGATGTGACATTGTATTATCAGAAATATATTTATTTATAAATATTAATTTCCTTTTTACAGTTGCAAAATTTCTACAGCAAGTATCTGCGAGTAAACAGCAAACGAAAAGCATTAGCCTATCAGAAGAGATATTGTAGAGCTGTGTATAATCGGCGGTTTTCAGTATTGCAAGGAGAATACGCTGTACATTCTCGCGCAAATAACTCAATAAGTCAACGTTCGGGCACGCAGTTACAACACGGAAAGGTGCGTCTCAAGATCGTTGTATTAATGGTTATTGATACAATCAGAATGAAGTGGCTGTTCGATCGCCGGCGAATGAGGAGACAGGCAGGCACCAATGTTCTTATGGATTTTATCGACCAGTTAATGGAGAAGCCGCTTACGAGATAGCCTATGTTTAATCATTCTCCGCCTGTTAGGGAAAGAGCGACGACGAAGTAAGTAGAACAATTGTCAAATAAATTACATTTTTAGTCAAGAAATGCCGCAATATAAAAATGCTAATAATTGTTTCTTATATTTTTTTTTTACTTAATATAATTTAAGATAATTATATGTAATTAAGGAATACCTCGTTGAAATTATATTGATTATATTGTCATAAGTAACATTTAAAAGATTCTAATCAGTGGCGTTTGTTTATAAAAATGTTATCAACAAGAAGTTATTTAAAATGTTTATAAAAAATTGTATTAACAAAACAAAGAAAACAATGAATTGCGAAAGTTGAATTCGTTAATCTGAACCCCACAAAGTATGAAATGTATGCTACTTCTGTGAATTTTGACATGAATTATCTTCAAGCGATGTTTTGGTCACAAACATATGAAGATGAAGGTAGTCGGCGAGGTGCTCCTTAATATATTATATGCATAATTACCAAATTTAACATGTATATTACTAACCGTTATTCATATGTCACCCGTCGATCTCTCATGACATACCGACGTAACACGTACATATGGCAGCGATTTTTTATGTCAACTTAGCAAATTAAGTTTATCCTACAGAGTTACAAAAAAGCAAGACAGTCTGTAGAAAAGGTTCCTCAAGTGAACCGTGAACGAATGTATTAGAAAGTACGCATTCTATATATCATATTAAAATATACTATAATTTGCATGTAAATTACATGTTTTAGTAAATGTTGCGAACTAAACGATTTTATACTTGAACAGTATTACCAACAAGTAAGAAACTTCCAACAGACGGTCGAATCAGCTATGACGGACTCTGGAATTAGTCATATCATCTCAGAATAACATTACATGTATATTATTAGTACATCTAGAAATTTACCTGTACAGTGTTAGCATTAAGTGTTGTTATTTAATTGTTAAAACGGTGCATTGTAGAGGTCGTATTTTTTGAACTGGTTCTTTAAAAGTTTACGATTTAGAAATTTTTAGATCTTTAGACACATATCGATTTTTGGATTTGTCCAATTTTGAATTTGTATATTTTGAAGAAATTAATATATTAGGAATGCTAATTTCAGGAAGAAAAAGCTTTTATATGAATTATATCTCGTTGAAATTTAATTCAATTCTTATTGAATTTTAATGAAGTTATTAATGAAAAATTTTACCTTTAATCAGTTTTCTCTGTCTCATCATCTTTCAGTGAGAAGTTTTCTTTATATTATTTACTATTTACTTTCCCCCTTTTTGAGAAATACGACCTATATTTTACACTAAATTGCAGTCGTTGAAAACCGATCTGCATGGGATTTCTATTTCCGTTGGACCGCACGGTTTACATCGTACCGATTATTCGTCAACACTTGATGATGGAATGTAAATTTCGTCAGGTCGGCCGGAAGTAAACGAAACTGGGCATTTATACAAATTCTGTAATAGACTGTCGATTTTATATTTTTTTAACTCGCGTACGAGACTGTAGAATCATGGTATTTATCTCTCATTGATTGCGGTGGCAAAATTTCGACACGTCACCACTAAATTATGAGAAATCGGTCGTCGTTAATGGATGAGAATGGATGTTTGCGTGTAAAATAGTTTTTAGGGTTACAAAATACGCACAAGAGAGGCTTTGATCAGTTATCGGTGGAAGAAAAACAATTTTTCGAAAATTATAATTAGCGTTAGATGTTGCGTTTTCCGTTCACGATGATGCGGACTGTAGATTATATTGTAAGTACGAGTGAAACCTGCGTGCCTTGTACGCCATAAAGCGCGTCCATTATTTATTAATCGACGAATTGTAATAAGCTTTTTATATATCGCGGGTTACATTCAATATAAACACTTTCTGTGAGATCTGTAATAAATAATCGATCTTTTAATGCTTATGAATATACTGCAATTAAATATGTACATTATATGGATCAAAATGGTGTCACTAATTGCTCACATTTACGTAAAAGTTACATTTCGTTTTAGGTTGCGATTATATTAAAGTCTGCTAATATTTGCAGCTTCCGATATTATGATATGATTTTGTCATGTATTTTATATACTATACTTTTTAAAATATTGCGGCGTAATCATCGTGACGCGAACAACGATTTTACGATTAACGCTATTGAGTGGACCGTTATTGAGTGGATGCGACCGTGTTATTCATAAATACAAATTTCCATCGATCCGGACCCCTAAATTTAATTATTACCTACTCGAGAGGTAGAGGCATAGTCATAAAAAGAGGCTCGTCGTACAAATATTTTGTTTAAAACCTGATCGATCTTGTTTATTAGTCTCATTCTGCTGTATATATAATTGTCTGTTACAGTTGATTATATTATTGATGTATATTAATAAACGGGGAAGAAATACGAGACTGCGCGTTTTCAGTATGTATATATTCTCTCGGAGCACTATTTACATATATACAATAGAGTGTGTGATAAAATATATGATAATCGATTAATCGGTTCGTTAGCGCTACCTCTTCCCTGGATTTGTCTAAACGTACATTAAAATCTTAAATGTAATCTATAAAGATAAGGCTTGCTCCTTGCTAAGAGATGACAATTTATATATTCCCTTTCTCTTAATTTTCTGCAATTTGCTCATATAATTCTTGCGACAATTGTTCTTAAGTTTTTATAACTGTGCGTTTGTATAGCAAGTATGTGTGTGTATGTGTGTGAAAATCCAAATCATATATTTTATCTCGAATGTAGTAGAAATAAGATAGAATGAGAGAGGAAGGGAGAAAAAGAAAAAGAGATAAAGAGCGAAATAGTGAGAAAGTTTGGTGTTTGAGCGTTACGAAATAATGGAAATGGAAAATATCTTTCTGCTTTATCTCGGAGAAATAGTTTTCAAGTCCCGTATATTCAACCGAACTAACAAATTAAGAGAAGTTTATCAGGAAGATCAAAAAAGATTATATCTTCTGAGACATTTTTCTCGAATGTCAATATTAATTACTTTCACGTTAGTTTAGTATTTTTTTAAGTCTATAACCGCGCACGTCGTGCTTAAGTCGGAAATGTGTTCGACCCACTCGATCGAGCATTCGTCTAGCATGCAAAAAGTGAGTTAAAAAGAATCGGTAAAAATTCATTTCGTGAAGTTTGAAACTTCTCGCGGAACAGTGATTAGTCCTGCAGTTTATCGGATCTGCTAACTCTATTCCTTCCTACTTCCTACGGATTAGTTTCGCCTCTAAGACGGCGCCCAATCGGGATCGTTAAGAAGGGACAATCGCCCTCGCTTAGAATTAAGGTATATTAAAGTGACACTCGTCCTCTCTATTTCACGTTTGGCATTCGGATACGTCGCTAAGTGTGTGCGCTAATATATCGAGAGTAAAAAGAGATAAAGGGTAATCCAAAACTGTGAAAACTTCGAGTCTCGACTTCGAGGAGACGACGTGTCTCTTTCCGTCTTCTTTTCTGTAAGATCACCAAAATGAATTTCCGTCAATTCCCTTTAACGCGTCCGATTCTCGTCGCGGATTCTAACGCATCTTGTGGCTCGAACAAGCGTCCTTGAAGTTGGTCGCGTTGAACGGCACGAAGTAGTCGTCGTGCAGTTGCCTGACGATGTTCTCTATCGGGCACAGCTTGACGGCCTTCCTGCCCGTCTGCTCGCCGTCGTCGCTGTAGGTGTTGGCGTTCTTGCAGAACGGGATCTTCGGGGTGAGGTCTCGGCCGTTGGCGACCACGCGAAAGTAGAAGTCGCTGGCCAGACGATTGTCGTTTCGCGGATTGATCTTGTATACCTCGATGACGAGCCTAGAGGCGTAGTGTGTCGCCATATCCGAGACTATCCCGAGGGCCGTGGCGAGGTACTCCAAGGTCTTATCGTGGCCGGAGTAGAAGACGACCTTGGGCCTCGCCTCGGAGATGATGCGCAGCATGAAGGTGACGATACCGCGCAGCATCCCGTACGCCTTCAGCAGCCCGTACTTGATGCGGCTGCTGCTCTTGGCGACCTGCTTCGACTCCCAGTCCGTGTAGGCGAAGAGCCCGGTTACGTGGTCGCTCTTCACGCACGTCCGTTGCGTGTCGAGGTCCGCGCACGGCAGCGAGGCCCCGTGACACACGTACGTCAATAACGCGTCCCTCAGCGTGTTGGGATCGCAGTTCTGCGCTTGTTCCGGAAGCTCGAACACCGCACTCGCCGCCTGCCTGATCAGCTCGCCGACGGCCGGATGAGATTTCAGGTGGCTGGAGGTCTCCTGGCGAAAGTCAGAACTAGAGCCGTCAATTATTCCGGTATTTCGAAGCTTCGAATAATGAACATCGAAGCTTCGAATCTCCGAGATTCGAAGTTCGAGTGTCAAAGCCTGCGAAAGAAAACACTAGCCCTAGTCAGAACAACTTGGGCATGCGGGTAATCACACGATTGTAGGTATTTACATTCTGTCTAATAAGAGCGTAACGGACATAACTTTTAAACTATTTGTTATTATAAAAAAATGAAAAAGATTACATATGTACTACATAATCGGTACTACATCGCTTTTGTATTAATAAGTCGTTCAATCACCGGCATTATCAATTATCGCCTGACATCTTCTAAGCATACTTCCCATCAATTTTACAACACACTCTCGAAATAAAGATCGCCATGTCGAACGAATCTATTTCATCGTGTATAATTTTTTCCACGCAACTTTATCTTCATTACTGCACAGACATTTTCAATAGGACTGGCGTCTGATGACTGTTACGGCCAAACTTAGTGTTTCAATAGATGGAAATATTATCTACACGTCTGTAAAGTTAGAAAATAATTGACCATTCAGGAGCTGAGATTCGCGACTAAAGATGACATTTTTTATACGTATTGCTTGATATTAGTGTGATAGGCGTGTATAATTCTAAAAAATCGAAAACTTAAAAATAAAACGAAATTTGAGAAGTGGGACAAGTTTCCGATAAGTCCCGAAATATTAAAAGAAGTTATAACTTTGCGAGATTTCATTAGTCTTTCGATATTTCGGAAGATTGTCCGTATTCAGTTTTGAGATTGTGACCTCGGGATATTATATGCTTTCCCTATTTCAGGAAAGTTGTATTTCAGCAAATTGTCTCGGTATTCACGTTTGGGATTGTGACTTTTTGGGATGTTGTCCTACTTTTTAAATTTCGAAACTTTTCGGGAATATGCATGTTTCTACTTTTAACTTTTATTTTCAATTTTTTCTAAGTCACATTTAGGATTTTAACGGAAAACTACTATAATATTAAAGATTAATAGAGGCATTATACGAAAATTTCAGAAGTATTGACCACTTTGTCTCGAAAATATAGCCATAAGAAATTTACAATTTATAATAATACCCGCAATATATGTACATTTACACATATTCAAATATTTATGCATCACTTTCTATTACACCTCTATTAGCTCAACGTATAAATAACATATAAATAAAGCATTATTAAGAAAAATTAAAAAATCAATAATATCTCCATGTTTGTAATATTGCGTGTATATTTCTGTTAATATCGCGTAAAATTAACATTTATTACTTAGATAGTTAAATAAAGTTACAGGAAAGTATGATTTTTCAATAAATAATGCATTTTAAATCCGGCACTCTACAGACCAACTACTTTAATGCGACATTTTAATCGTTGAACAACAAAGCATAAAACATCGGCGTTCCTTTTATCGGTAAAAAAAATGTAACGGTATGCTCTTCAATATATTCCGGCACGGTCCGTGCATCAAGTGCGATATATATCCGTGTGTCATGAGTGGTGTGCAGACAACGGACGTTTTAGAGAGAGATTTATTTTCGTCGAAAAAAAAGTTATCATCGTCTGTAAGTTTAAATCACACGGCTGTGTGAGAAACACAAATTCTAAGCATCACATGACAGGCAAGACACCTCGAATAGTGGCCTGAATAACTTTATTGGATGTTCTAAGAAAGTAGAAAGAGGAGCTATATCTTTTTAACATTGATTATTTAATATGTTTATCTGAGAAAGTGGAATGATAGATTTCGGATGATCAAAGATTTGCGAACGTCACTCCATCACGGATCTGAGAAAAGATTCAAAGAGAACACGGAGAGGCAATGTCTCTTATAAGCGGATTCTGCATATTTTTTTTAGAAAGCAAATCGGTTAACCGAAAGAAGTAGTTTGACGATGTAAGTTTAAGTTACTTTGCATAATTATTCGCAAAGTTTCTGTATCTTCCTAATTTTATAGGACGCGACTTGCCACGATTTCATTCCTAACAAATATATTAATTATCTGGCGTTTGACCTATTTCTTTTTGTTTTCTTTCACGTTTATTCTCTTATAAGGCGATTTGCATATTTCGATCATTTCATTTCTTCCGTATCTCGTTATTTTGTTTATTCTCTTAGCTTACCTTCAAGTATTGCTTCAAGAACTTCTCGGCGGCGGGACAGGCGCACTCGTTGTTGCAAAACGCGTAGCTCTGACTCTCCTGCAGGCTGATCCTCGCCAGGCTCTGGAAGCCGTCATTCTCGAAGAGCGCGTAAAGCAAGGCAACAGCGCTCTGTACAGTCCTCCGGTAGGAAGTGCTGTAGACGATGATGTCCTTGCCGAAGGAAGTACTGTTGCCGAGGTTCAGCTTGTGGTAGTACGCGTTTCTCAGCAAGATTCCGGTTTTCAGCAATTGCAGGATACCCAACGTGGTTAACTGGCCGATTTTGCAATCGCGCGCGTTCGCCGGCAATATGGGTAGCCCGTGAAACGGTCCCAGAAACTGAGCCCAGGCGGTCTTGGAGTAACTCGACACGTTCTGCACGAAATTCACGTAATTTTCGTAGATCGTCTCCAATTCCGTCGCACTGCCGACTTCGCCGCCGCAATTGATGTTACTTATGTTTCGTATGTGCGTTAAAGGGCCCCTGTCTCCGTGGCGAATGAAAATCAGCACACCGCCCAGGGTCAGGTTGCCGTCAACTCTCCCTGTTCCGTGAAGGAGGCGTGCAATCAACATATTATGCGTACAAAATGCAACCGACGCAATTTTTTACTTTAGTCGAAGTGAGATTACGTTAGTTCTTAGCGTTTTACTTCGTGATTTTTCCGACAGACGGCGAAAGCTGAAATTTGTAAAATATATCGGAGGGAATATGCAAAGGGGGAAAATTAAGTTCCATGTACTTTGTAAAGTTTCTCAAGTTACTCAACTCTCTGGGTGAAGAGGTAGAAGAAAATATCTCCATGTAAATTAAAAATCCGTCTTTTCCGTTATATGCTTTTACGTTGTACATCATTAGTCAGTAGTTGTGTGCTCTTTCTAAAGTTTGCCAAACGGAGTCTTATTATTCATGGCGAACGTAAAATTGTTTAAATCGTATTTCTCAGCCGGACTTGACTCTGTTACATAACTGTGCAATAGATTGATATACAGAGAATTTTGATTTTATACGCGCAATATTTCGTAATGTATTGATCTCGTATGAAAATATCTATATCGTGACTATATCGTAAGATTCTCTTTTTAGTGACTATATCGTAAGATTCTCTTTTTAGCTATTGAAACGTTCCAAATTTTCATACGAGAGTTTAAAACGATAATTGTATGGCCTACCTTCGGTATCCGCGACTATCTCGTGCGGTAAATTGCAGAAACGGAAGATCTTCTTTGTCTTTGCGTCCGGCTTTAAATTTCTCGGGAACTCTCGAAGCGAGAAGTCGTTGCTTAAAACTCTTGTTTGCACCGAGGTTTTCTCGTCTACGCCGATATATTTGTACATACCTGCGTAACAACATACAAAGGAATAAAATTAAAATCGGAGGCACTTGGCATGTCCGAATCGCGTAAAAGCTCACGCCAACGTAACCGAGAAATGTCGAGTCCCACTCGAAATCTACAGAATATTTTAATGCAATTAATATGATACGATATATATAATTTATCGAGGCTCGTATTTTAATGAGACTCGGACACGCTAACTATTCCCAACTCTCCACTTTAAATTTACTCTTTTCTGAAACTTCCCGTCGCGAAAGAAGCCTCGAAATTAATAAAAACTTTTAGTACGCATCCATAAATGTTTACCTTCTGATATTTGTATATAAAACGTGTGCTTTCGCGACTAAATTTATGTATCCTTAGCTGATATTCGCGATATTCAAATATTATTATTTTTGCAGGAATTAGTCTCGCTTAACGTAACTTCCTGATATCATTCTTCCTTGCGGAAGATAAATGTCCCAACAGCCTGCTCTGAATTTTTTTATATAAATACGTTTCAATTAATAAGTACTTTTAGTTTCATACTTCTTGCTGCATACAACTTTGGACGTTATTTACGTGCTTTTTATTTCTCTCCACTCATTTGTCATACCTGTCGACGAACGTGATTAAACGTTTCCCTTATTTATGAGAAAAGTAGAGCAAAATAGAGTCGTTGTCATAATGTCACGTGATAACATTTAGCTGCACAATCCATTATTGGAAAACTGCAGTGCGTTCTATTATTATAGTTCCATCATTAAAAACTGAGGTGACGAGCGCAGAAGCACATTTAAGTAGCCGCGCGATAACGCGTCTCTCTGCATACTGTATCTAAAAAGAAATCTCTAGTAATCCTGTGTCACGAGGGTTTAAATATCTTAAAGACCACTCTTGGCGAGCTGATAATCGATTGCGTAAATGTTACCAAGGTCTTTTACATTGAAGGTCTTTCAATTAAAGTTCAAGAGAAATCCTGCGAATTACTAAAATACAAAACGAACAGAGAAAATAATCTGTTTCACTCCACGTGCGAATAAACACCGAGTTCTTGAGGAAGAAACTTTGAAAAAAAATAGGAGAAACTTAGGAACTTTCCGAACTCGAGCATTTAACGTTCTTAATTAAACCGAAGGGAAGAACGACGAAGTTAATGTGGCAAAGTTCGTGGCAAACATGCGGGTCAGTTTGCACGTCGAAATCCAGCCCGGTGAACGCCAATTAACAGTAACGTTACAACAATGTAACAATTTCTCACTCAACAATGTATCAATGCAACTGTTACAACTCATGTTATATTGCATTTACATCGTTAGCGAGAGAGATTATAACATCGATGTGATGTTAATTGGTCGTTTGCCGGATAAATTCGCGCCGAAATCAGAAACGGTCGCGCACTCGTATCTCGGTCACCGGACGACTTTTCGGGCCGTTGATTTCTTTTTCCGTTCTAACGAGGACCGTCCGTTTACCCGACCCCGACTGCCTCCCGTGCTTACCGCAGTGCACGAAATTAGCGACAAGAGACTGTTGTATTACCAGCGACCAGCAGGAAGATCCATACGCTCAGGATCACGTAGCAGTAGAACGCCTTGTGTTGGTAGGACAGCCGGACCATTTCTGCGAGCATCCCTCGGCGGTTTCGGGCCCCGCGGGACCGATTCGCAGGCCAGAGAGCGGTAACGACGTCCCGTCACGACGACGAGGAGCGACACGACGAAGACGAGGAGGTTGGTTTGCCGTTCTGCTTGAGGCCGATCGAAGCTGCATCTTCAAGCACCCTTCGTCCACACTTTCCGCATATTTGTCGGCAGCCCAGCGACGCACCTGATCACCTGATCGACGATGCGAATGATCCCAGCCGACAACGATGGCAACGAAGACGACGACAGCGACAACGACGACGACGGTAGCGGGAAAAATCGTCGACTTCCCTGCGCGTCTTCCCGAGGTGGAACTGCCGGTCTCGACATGGCGATAACAGGGGTAGATATGCCAGGGTGTTCCAAGCGCAGGCGCTACCACCGCCGGCTCTACCCTCCACCCCCTGAAGAATCGAGTAGTTTCCCGCGATGGGATGGTCGGTCTACAGAGTGGCTTTCTCGCAACGTTTATCGACCTTCTTTTATCCGCGCGGTTATCAATTGGAAAGCCCGGTCAGCAAAAGCCGGTCGGTTATGCACTTTCTGTCGAGAATGGAGTTTCTCGTCGCCTCGCGAAATATTAAAAATAGATCCCTCGATACGATCGCGTGTGGGCTTTCTCTGACAATTACTCGGGCCGAGAGGCGAGAAAACGGGGGGATGGCCGGCGGATTATTCGACATCCTGCGCGTCTGACCGACTTTTACATGAGGCATAATCTCCTCTTTAACGTGTACACAAAGAATGACATTTTTTTTCTCCGGCGTAAATTACTATGACACAATCACGCACACACACACACACACACATGGCGATCGCGAGGTCTCTTCAAGCTTGCCTTGCCATGGAGCCGTCTTTAATCTCGTCTCCCCTCCTGAGAAGGAGCTTTCGATTCTGCTCGCATGAGACGGCTGAAATGAAGGATCAAAACCGGCGTGATTCTCTCTTCGCTCTTTTGGCTCGACATTTTTTTTTTTATATTTGCTCACATTCCAATATGAGACGTTATTCCGATATGACGTTACGACGTTTCAATGCCACGCGCGCGCGTATAGACGATCTCCACGGTTATTCATAACGATAGAACAAGCAGGAAGTATCCCTGGATCAGCCTCGATGGTTTTTACTTTGAAAGTTTTTATCCTCTCAGCTTTTGAGAAGTTGCGTTCGTTGCATAAGCGGTTATTATTAGAACTCGGATATCGCGAAGGAGTCAGCCGTGATAATTTCTACTACAAGTAGTAAACTGCTCGTCGCGAAAGATCACTAGGGCTCCGGTATCGTGTAAATATTTCTCCGCTATATAGCACGCGCGTGTCAGCCGAAGGCCGGATTTATAACAGAAGCGCCGCAATCAGATATCCGAGTTTGGTCAAAATCAATTAGATCGTAATTGCGGAGTTAATCGCTTTCAGATTGGTGGTACGCGGTTGTCGATCTCTGTACGGGATCGACACCCAAGCCCGTATCCGCAACTCTTCGCGCTGTAAAATTAAAATCACACCGTATTTCGGCCCCTGGCATGGATCCCAGCGCCGGCGGGAGGGAAGAAGGAGAGTTCTTTAAATTGGGCAAGGCCTGCTAAGAGCTAAATGACCATGAAAAGCAAATCTCAGTTATTGCCGGCGAGGAAAGCGGATGCTGATGCTACCAGACGGCTTCGCCGCACTCTCGCCGGCCCAGCGGTAAATATATTCCGTTTAAGACTGATGGTTAGATTGTCCCGCAGTTGACGGTTAGTCTCGAGTTCTCATATCAGGGCAGTTGACGCGAGTTACATCGGCGCGGTTACATACCGAGTAATCGCGCCTGTCGTCTGCTATATCGTCGCCGGGCACGTAACTGTTATTGGTAATTGAACGCCCCCGCGACACTGTAAACTCAAACGATCCTCGGACGGGAGGCGATACTCCTTGTTAATAAGGACCCGACTCTGAAAGCAATGCCGAAGGCTTTATCTAGGCAAGGGGACGTGTCTTGATAAAGTGGTCGCGCATCGGCAAACGATCGATCAAAGGAGATTCGTTCGGTCTCTCTGTTGCATTAAGAGATTATTGCTGGAGTGTCTGTCTAGAGATATCCTACCGCCGTTGTCGCATAACTTATCGGAGGTAGTAGTAGCATAAATTGAGTTCTTTTAAGAATTTGTTGAAACCTGCGTTATACATTTAGGAAAAAATGTCTCGTGTAATTATACATAGAATATGTCCATGTTTAAAAATATATAATTATATATGATCATATATAATTATATATATGTATATATTTATATATAATCATATATAACTGCATAATAACTTTACATATAATTGTATATTTTTATATATTTTATATATGATTTTTAGGTGTAATTTTTATATTTTATATATGACGCCTGATATATATTTATATATAATTATATCTAATCGTATATGGAAAATTTTTTGCTGGGTTCTAGATTTAAATATAATCTAATTAACAGCGCAATTAGAAATAGATCAGCCATTTGGAAGCTGAGATATTCGCAACTAAAAACTTTTTATACGTATTCCTTGAGTTCAAGGTCCTATTTTTAACTTCTTTTTTTAATTTCTTTTAAATTTTAGAATTTTTATGAAAAACTATCGCGATATTAAGAATTATAGAGACGTTATAAAAAAATTTCAAACTATTTTATTTTGAAAATATTTATTTTTAAAATACAGCGACGTAAAGTTCGTAACTTATAATAAATCGAAATATGTATACATGTGCACATATTAGTTATATATCTGTTTCTATTATCTGTGTATTTCTATTAGATCTAATGCATTAAAATAGCATTAATAAGAAAAATAAAAAGTAATATTTTCGTATTTGTAATATTATATGTACATATCTACCTCAACTTCGTTTCAAATTAATAACATAACATTTATTATTTAGGTAGTGAAATGAATGTACAGGAACGTAATTTTGCTTGATCAATATTAAATTTATAGTTCCCTTGGAACGCAACTGAAAATACGACACTCTGCAATACAACCACCTTAAATTTTTATTTAATATTTTATTTCGTTAAAAAATGTTGACTTTGAATTCCGATGTGTATTTTATAATTTTTGTAATCTGTATAATCTATATAATCCATGTAATCTATATAATTATAATCTGTATTGAATACGTTGTACATGATTTTTATTGTATAGTTTGACTTTGTTCACAAATGTTGACTTTGTATTTTATCAAAAATGTTCAAACACCACCCGGTAAATACCGACTAACGACAATGTTATAATTTCTCCGTCAACAATGTAAGTGCAATATAACATGCGTTATATAAAACAGTTACATTGTTGAATGAGAAATTAAATAACGTTGTAATGTTACTGTTTGTTGGTGTTTACTGGACAATTTTAAATCACTCTGTAATTATTACGGTTTATTCTCTCCTCTGAGTGATTCTTCATCACGTGTTTTTATTTGTATTTTGCCGAATAATACGGGAACCGGACTTCGCATAAGCAGCACGAGGCTCACGAGATCGCGTATATAATGTCAACGACCTGTGATTTGATTTGATGGATAAACCTTGACTTTATATTCAGAGCATTGAGTCGTTAATATTAAATCATTCAGTAATTATCGTTTCAACATTGGAGCGTTTTATTAACATTTTTAACGTCTGTCACGTGTCCTCGAGAGACCAAAGCAGCGGTGTTGTAACGTACTGTACGCGTTACTCCGCAGAGAAAGAGAGAGGATAAACCGTAACAAGTTATGCGATAACTGTGGCGGGGTATTATTTTTAGACGGACACGCCGATCGTTTCGTGTTGAGACAGTTTGAGATCCGAGCGAAATAAATAATAAACACTCGGCCGTCACCGTCGCACGTCGCATCGTTATCGTTCGCTACAGTTCGAAAGTCTTTTCATAATTTCATGACCCCGGCAGCGAATATCGCGTAGAATTGCCTCAAACCGTTTCGATTACGAAGATCACTCGCTTCTTATTGCTGCCCACCAGCAATACCTTCAAATATCGCCAATCGCGCGCAAGCACGAGTGCACGAACCCTCACCGTCTCGTTATCATTATCACCATCATCGTCTACCCACGTGCCTGATCTCATAGCCTTGGCAAGATCATTGCCACCGTCACGATCGCACGGAATGTCATTGCAGTAATCATAACAAGCGCCTCCGTCGCGAATTGCGTAGTAGTCAAAATCGATGAATTCATCGGGCTCGACGTTGATCGGGCGAGTTCCTCTATGGAGGCAAAGTTGAACGCTTCAGGTTAAACTCGTCTGAGAAGGGCATGATTCATATATGTCGCAGTTTTTCGGCACTATTTATGCGTACTCGGTGAAATGCGCTCGATTCGAGTGATACATTAAAGCCAAATTCGAGATCTTGATCGAAGGAGTGTGCTTTTATTAGAGTTTGTAAAATTGAAGCGAGCGAGGGCAAGGCCGTCTGGAAGCTAAATTAGAGCATGTAATGTGTCAAATCAAGTCGTTCTTAAGGATGGAACCATCTAGAAGTACCATCGTCTCCGAAATTTCTAGAAATATCAACATCGCTCAGGAAAAGACAGAAAAGAGAAGGTGACAATTTAACATTAAAACATCAAGATACAATAATTTTTTAATAGAAAATGAAAATTAGTCAATCATATTAATTCAGACCGCTAAAGTGCGCAAATATTGCTTCTGAGAGATCGTTGTTTTTTAATACAAGTTAGGGCTGCGTTTCCATGAAAATATTAATACATATCATGAAAATATTAACAATTTTTTAAAGCAATATTTACAATACAAGCCATTAGGGAAATTAATAAATTCGGTGACGTAAACGAAGTTTTATCGGCTTGCGAATATACTACGCGAAAGTTAATAATTTAGATGAAAATGGAACGAAGTTTAAATCATTCGTTGAATGAACTCTTTTTATGTGCTTAAAGATGTATTGCCCATTAGTGCTATATTTTCAGTGGTACATCAAGGGGACAATTTATAAATTTAGTATTTATCAAGCAATATTACGTTCTTATGCATTTATTTCACTAAATTATTTACTTCATCTAAATAATAAATTTTAATTTGAAGCGAATTTAAATTCTGGATTTTGTGTATAATTTCTGTATATTAGTCTTTAGTACCATGGTAATTTTTTATTAGAATCTTATTTTTAATTTAGAAGATGTTAAAAATAGAAATAAAAAATAGTATGCTAAATCTTATGAAACGTGTGAAAAAGTATCAACTTTAGTTATAAATATTTCAATTCTCGAATGGTCAATAATTTAGAATTGCATAAGCAATGAGTTAGGTAATATTTCACTATCTACGCATTACAAGTTTATTGAATTCTTATCAAACTCACTTCACCTTATAACCTCCTTTAAAGTAGAACAACTTATGATCCAAAATCTCTCTGAATTACTGTCCAACTTTTGGTGTTACTTTTGAATGCAATGTGTCAAGATCAATTTGTAATTTCTTTATAATTTTTTTCATTATTTTGAGTTGTGGATAATGGCAGCCTTAAACTGTGTGACGTTGAATAAATTTTCGAGAGAGATGTTTCTCTCGGGAGATTTCCCTCGCGAATCCATAGGAATCGTAATCGCAGAGCCATCGAGTCGATCGTGCGCAAGAACGTGACGTAAACGGAGACGCAGGTCGCGCAGAGTATACTGTGTTGCAGTGGCTGGGTCGAAAGTTCTATCGCTCTTGTTGCAATCGGCACATGGGTGGAAGGTCAGCTGAAACAGCTTGACGCTTGTAAAGATAATATATTTATGGTGTCAACTTTCCTTTGTCCTCCTCGATGTGCGCATAATAATTCGTTATCATCGCCGAGCGCGCACAAGCTCGGCGATATTCCTCACCCATTCACTTTGATCCTCTGTCGAGAAATTGCGTATCGCACAAAGTATCTCGAATGTTTTGGACGTTATTTTGCTCGTGTGTTACTGCAAATAAAACCAACGATCAAGAACACAGCGCTAATAATCTCGTTGTTGGTGTCATATGTTTATTGGTAAACACATTCGGCGGTTATTTAACATTCAATATTAGAAATTCGAGGTGAATCACCTTCCGAGATGTAAACAGGCGATAAAATGATGTTCCTTGTTTAGTAATTTTAGCAATATTTCAACTAATACCTTCAATTAATACCTTTCAGGCTTATTAAATTAAATTGGCAAATTATTTCTGGTTTACGCACCAACTCTTCGGCGTATTAACCCTCATTCATCCTTCTTCCTGATCTGGGAAAAATTTGTTTTATACAATTAGATGTAACTATATATAAGGCGTCCTATATAGAATATATAATTATATATGAAGTGGTGATGCTAATTTATATATTATGAATATATATAATAAGTTATAAATAATTATTTATTAATATATAATTATATATTTTTATATATGGATATATATTATATATATAATTATAGAGAAATTTTGTTCGGAAGTTGGACATTATTTTTAACTAAATTTTTAGCAACCTAATTTCTTCCTTCGATTTATGACCGGATAGTCATCAGAATTAATTATGAACAATAAGATATATATTATATATGCGATGGTCTCTCTTTTAATAACCGCCGCTAACCGTCGCGCAACGTTCGGCTAACTTCCTGGCAGATTTTTCCGCTTTATCTGTAGCAGATTAAACTTACATTCACGCGACACTCGCGCTCCAAATGAAATTAAAACGCATTATCGAGAATGCGAACGTCGCGATTTCATGGCCGGATGTTATTTTCCAAGATATCGGCCAATGGAAACGACCGGTGAGGTTCCTCATGTATATATGTGTGCATGTATGTTGCAACGTATCGCACGTAAGAGAGCCCGAAGGATCGTTCGCGGGCGAATTACGTAAGCCGAACGAAAGCGGAATTTCAGACGCGTGCGACTTTTACGGGCGTTTTCCAAACGCCCCGTTTATGCGGATCGGCGTGCGATCGGCCAGCAAGGAAGTGCCAAACTAGATAAGCGCGCTGCCACATTCATTACTTCCGTCTACCGCGGATGCGCCACGCTTCAATGCATTCGAGTTGCATCGCCGAGAGAAGATCGGTTCATCTCCGAGATTATACAGGATGGTTCGCCATTACCGATCGTTTCTCTCTCGCACAATTTCAACCGTACGCTATAAATTCTACCTCTGCAATCACCCGGGGATCTCGTCTCTCATCTCGATCTCGTGTCGCGCGATCAATTTTCTTTCGCCGCTGCTCTTCATCTCTATTTCGTCGCAAATTTCCGATTTTTATCTAAAAGAAGCGATTCGGATAAATCGTCCGCAACTTCCCCGATGACTTTCATACTTTTCTCCCGCGATGAAAGTGAACTATACCGGAATGCCTCAACTTTTCCGGTAGAGACAGGGCGAGCGAGGGAAAGGGAGAGAGAAAGAAAAAGAGAGTGTGGGGAGAGGGGGCGGGGAAGAGAGATGCGAAGGCGTTTCTCCAAATCCACAAATTCACCGGCTACACATTGACGTCTCCCGCCGGCGTTGATTGATCTCTCACCCGCGAATGCTTCACGCCGCGAGTGGAGGTGAGGAGGACTCGGAGCGGCTCGGCTGCGAGCGCGAGTACAAGCGAGTGGGTACGAGCGGAATCTCGCACGGCGCGCCGAACAGTTCGAATCCCGCTTCCCGCGACGACGTTCGCCCGCGTACTCTACCACGCTCGCCTCGCACGAATTTCGATCTTCGATCATGATACGCGGACGGACGAAGACGTGCAGGTGAAACCGTGTGCCGCGCTGCCCGCCTTATCTGCCTGTCTACCTGTCTTGCTTTCGTAGAGAACAAGGGAGACACGCGCGCCGAAGTGCCGTAAAACAGGAAAGAAGGAGGAGGAAGTCGAGGGGATATAAGTTGCGGAGAAACCGGGATTTCGCCGGGAGGATATTTAATTGGTGGTGACAAAGTTTGTGCGAGAAGCTTGTGGACGGTTTAATCAGGCGTTTCCAGCTGGATTCGAGCGGCAAAGGTAATTCCATTCGACGCCCGGTGCGATCGGTAATCACGCGCGCGCTCACCGCTCGATTCCGGCGGAATTTGAATTTTGCGCGCTAGGATGTACGACCGCTCGCTCGGATCTCGAGAGTCGCTCTCTCGGTTTTCGGCCGATGTGAGTCAACAGGCCGACCGCGAGGGATCGGAGGAAATAAGCTAATGAGAGAATGCCGACGGAGATAAATCAATGTGAATGTGCGCGCACATAATTAACGTTAATCCGCTGGCGACGTTACGTGCGCGCGGACATGGCGTCGCGTATACGCGACGCGTCCATTAGCTTTTCCCCATGTTTCCCGATGTTTCCCTCCGCAATGCAAGATATGCAGGTGTTATTTCACGTCAGATACGATTCGAAGGGACTCGTGGTCTCTGTGGAGAAAGTTTTCCTTTTTTTTTCTTTTCTTTTGCCGAAAGCCGGAGTGTCGGTGAACGTACTGTAATCCGTTGAATATTCCTTCGGACACGGTAGGTGCTGATTGGTGCAACGTCAATAATAGTTCTGTTTATCCCGCGACCCTCTTGGCCCTTTTTTCTTGCGAGTCGTGCTTTTTTCTCCTTGAAAATCAAACAAGTACACACACTTCTTTGATGATTCGGTGAGACAGACAGAGAGAGAGAGAGAGAGAGAAAGCAGAGAATGGAAGTAATGATAGAAAGCGCCAAGCGCGAACGAACGGATCTGTTGTATATAGAATAATTAAGAAAATTGAATTAATCTCACGATCCGTCGGGCCGATATATAGTAACGACGCCTGTGGAGTAACCCGTGACAGTCTATCATATCATTCGTGATGTCTATTTACAAATTACAATGCGCACAATGCGATATGTTATTGGATTATTTTGTCGGCGCGGTATAGGCGAGAGGAAAGAAAGAAAAGTGTAGACACAGGAATGAAGGACGGAGACGCGTCTTACAGGATGCCTTTCCATGTTTAGGGCTAACGAGCGAATGCATGTTTCCTCGTTAAAGCGCCCTGTCTCGCGGAAGAGCGCTCAGTGAGCGCAGGCTGTGTAAACAGGAAGCGGATTCGTTATTACGAATATGTTATGCCCACACGGTTCGGTGTTAGTCATCGTTTATGGGCACTCGAGATTATAAGCACTGTCGCCAACTCACTTTCATGTTAAGCCATTATTCCAACACCGCTTATTAACCCATTAGAAGCCATTGTACCGTTTCTAAACAATAAAATAATGATGACTTCATGGTGGGAATCGCTACCGAGGAACCACAGATGTCAGATTTTGTGGAAGCGATTACGCGCGCGCGCCCACCTCGCCACGAGGCGAGAATATGTGTGTATTGTGGAATTAAGATCTCGTCTGTCCACGAGGAGATGCGAAACAGGAAACGCTTTTCCCACACAGAGACACTGTCCTGCCAAAATCTCCATTCTGAAGGAAATCGTCCATCGTGGACGGGCGTAAAAACGGTCGTAAGAATCCTCCCGAGTGTTACACAAATAAAAATTCACGTGCGTTTGATCTCTCAATAACGACTTCTTGGAAATATTGTTCCGTGATGTAAGCGTATAATTGGTCTGTGATAAATGTTGTATTATATCATAATAAGAGCGTCGAGTGCAGTATGAGCTGGTTCAATGTAGTTAAACGCAAAACGTTGCCGTTGGTTTTTACACAAGACTTACTCGCCGGTTACCGGCGTATCGGTTGTCTTCTTTTAACTGAAAAACTCGCGTTTTTCAGTAACAAATAACACATACATCGCAAACGACGTCTTATGTTTAGCTCGACGCATTGCAGCGGCAACGCAAAGATTTGGAGGCTGGCGGTGAAAAGTATCGCTCGCACCGACAACGGGTCAATCAACTGCGCTGTTGATATATTCCTTGAACATCGTCCCCGTAACAAATTGTTGACCTCGGAGGGTCGGTGGGGAATTGCATATTACTGACGCATCGGCAAATCAGTAGCGAGGGGACGCTGTTGATATTCACAAGGGCCTCCATCGATTATTTTCGTCGCGTCGCGAGAAAATCGCCAGAGAGAACTTCGTAAAATGTTGCTGCAAAGTTTCCATGATTTTCTACTTCCAAGCAGTTCGAAGGGAATCACAGCTGAAACGATCCGTTGAGCTTTCGATTATAGTATTTTTACTGGCAAGGATAATAAAAAATTTTGCGATATACGTATCATTGAACGCGCGTTACTTTTCTGACAGTTATAAATTATCTCGAGACGATTGTGGGGATTGAAAAGAAAATTACATTTTATTCGTTAGAAAGGAATCCGGTGAACCTTGGGAAAATATTACCAAGTGATTTCGAATAGAATGGAAAGAAATGAATAATTCAACGACATTTTTAAGAGATATGTGAAGCATACACAGAGGTTAAAACGTTTTATACTCGGAGAGGAGAAATATTAATACACAATATATTTAAGATACAATATTAATACACAATATATTTAAGATACAATAATTTCAAGATACAATAATCACTCAAAACGTCAGAGCCACAGCAGCTTCGTTGTATTGCTGCGCTGTATTGCAGGCACAGTAGACGCAATAGAGATGTGGTAACGTCCTCCGGAATTCTCGCTGGCTGTGCTTGGTTCTACCCTGCGTTCGCTGCAAACTCAGACGAGTTACTTTTATTAGCTGAAAATTATCATGCATACGCGTGTGTGTGTGTAGCAGTGCACCCAGCGCGACAATTTTACATACTCACGAGCGTTGAAAACGAAACGAGTGGACTTACGCAATTGACATCATTTTACAATCTATCCTTATCCGAGCAAACCGGCTGCATTCATGAACTTATAATCGCGAACTTACGGGGTAAAAATTGCGGGGCGCGTGCTTCGCACGACAGGGCCCCGGGCCGGAAATGGCGTGAAACATTTTTGAAGTCCGGTTGAATGGACCGCTACGCGCGCCGGACACTTACGCAATCTATTTAAATTAGAGAAAAGTAGCTGGGTGAAGTTGCGCACAGAAAGAGAGAGGCACCGGTACCATTCCTCTGGGCCCATCATGCGCCGACGTCGCCGGCCGATTCCCCGTAACCGATAAATTAAACACTCGGATATCTCTTCCGGTTTGAAAGCACGCGGCTGCGCAGTGCGAGGCGCGCGAGCGCGCCATGCCGCGTCGCGTCGGCCGCGTCGTCACTTCGTCGCAAGAAATCGGCCGAACGATTTCGAGAGAGGGACTGTTACTGTAATGCGCGTCGCCGTCGTTTACGTTCTCCCGCTCTTTCCTATCTGAAAGCGGCCGAGATAAAAAATGTCTCATTGTCCTGCCCGGTTGCGATGATTCAAATCGATGAGTCAAATCGTAAACTTTGCATACGTATGATATCATGAATGCATACCACGGAGCTCTCGATACCTCAAATTTCCCGACTGTTTGCACCGCGCTACGTATTAATAGATGCTCCTCGATGCGTGCTTGAAAAGTTTTCTTCGTTTTACTTCACGCTTACGGTGTTATTTCTCCTTACGGAGAGCTGCGATTTAATTTGGTGGACTAACTTTAGTTTCACACGCAGGTGGACCCGTTATCACCACGTGCGATATTTTTCGTGGCCGCTCTGTGGGAATTAATCGCGGTCGAAAATATTAATGCAGAAATGTCGAAGTCGTTTTTCCAGTTGTGATTATAATTTCCATTTTATGCTAAACGGCTCGACCGTTTTTTATTGATCTTTGCTCGGCTCGACCCAGTAAGCAAGAAATCATTAACACAACATAGTTACAATGATACTTCATAACATGTAATGTTTTCAAATATGTAGTTCTTAATGTTGTATACAACGTCATTGTTAACAATATTTGACCGAAGTATTAAAAATAATATTTCTACACTATGATTTTAATATTTAAGAATATTATATCATTAAGTAAAGTTCTTGAAAATATTTATGAAATATTATGTCAAAATACTTATAAAATTTTTATAGAATCAATATTTCGAAAAATTGTTTCAACGTTTCTTGCTTACTGGTTACTGATATCAATTTTCACAGTTCGCTTGATTTTTTTGAGACAAAGATACTAGCAATAATTTAAATAATTCTACAAATAGTTTTCCTACTAAAATGTAGCTAAATTTATTCCTTAGAGAAAAGCAAAAGTATGTTTATTAATTCTTACTTTTTGGCGTGTTTACAAATATGAGTGTAAAAATTCCGCTAGACAGCATCAACATAAGTCGTATTTCATAAACTGTTGTGTAACTTCTGGATATTTCGTTATTGGAATTTTAGATTTTAACCAAGCAAAAACCATGCAAAACATACACGTTATTAACATTTGTACGATGATTATGGGACGTTCTATATACTTTAAATGTAGAAATTGAGCATTTTTGCGTCGTTGGTTTTATATATGTCAATACATTTGCTTTGCAAAACGCGATGTTTCATCATTATGTAAAAATCACGTTCAAAGCGAATGTGTTAATCCTTTCTAAATTATTAGAACGGTATATCATTTCATATATTTTTATACTCTTCAAAGAGTGCCGCAAGAGTTACATAAAATTACAAAAATAGTTATATAAAAAATATAGATTCGGATTTAGAAATCTCAAATTTGGAAGTTTCTCGTATCACGAGATTGCAAATTACAAACTTAATTAGTTCCTCAAATATTGTTGTCGCACAAATTGGACCGATGATGTTATTCATGCAAATTCTGAACTTAAGGTGATTTTAAATCTCAGAACATTGACTTCGTATTTTATTTGATTTCGCAGATTGATAGTGATCACACACTGCTCATTATAGATTTATGTCACGGTAATAAAGTTCACCGTGCGTGGAGAGCAACATAATTCACGCTTGTGCATGAAGCAACCGAAGCGTCAACTTTTTCCTAGCTAGGCGCAAGTGTCTCTTAAGGAATTTCATTTTATATCGAGACACTGATTAGATATTTACTTTATGTCATCTCATCTGGTTATCTGGCAACGTGGCCCGCGTGCGATGAAATTATACTTTG